TTTTGGTCAAAATGTTTGCTTTTTATTATATTTACAAATGTATTGTTCCGTTGTATTGGTTCTGATCTGTTGTTTAAAATTTTAATTTTAAATACTATTTACGAAAAGGTTTTATGTAAAAGTGAACGAATCGAATATTATAAATTAACCAAGCTATTTGCCGCCAAGCTATAGTATAGACTAATTTATGGTACAGAATATATTAGTTCTTAGAAAATATTAAACTACTATTTATTAAAGCTATTTAGATTTGATGAAAGCATTTGATTCAATAATAATTCAATTATCAATGAGTCAATGAATATGTTTTTAATTTAGGTTTCATGTGTTTCATTCACATTCACATTGTAATGATTGTGGAAATGCAAGCATTTAGTTAAACGACAGTTTAATATTAAGTGAATGATTGTATAATTGTTTCATTCATTGTTTCCAACAGTTATTCACTCAATATATTAAAATCAAATATAATATAATCTTTATTTATTACGAGTCAAACAACTCTTCTGTAAATTATTCAACAAAATTGAATGATATTTCAAAAAAGTATATTAAAATAATAGTAAACTCAATGATTCGTAATTAAATGGTTAATAACCAAACATCGAAGCCGTTAACTCATTAAGTCATCGATTTATTTAAATTAATTTTGATTACAAATTTGTATCAAATTTTCGATCCTTTTATTTGTATTATTTGTAGCCAAACGTGAAATCGTTTCATTCATTTCCAAAAGTAAACTTTCTATAATTTAATTTAAAAACATGTTTTAAAGTTGAGTAAAACATATGGCAAACAAATGAATACCTGGACTACCTTTGGTGATGAGTTGTTTGGCAAATATAAACAAGGTTAAACTCGATATAACGATTCGTTCGTTCGACACATTCTTTGACAGACATTTCAAGATTTTATGGAAACCGTTATTATTAATGATTATCTGAATATTCTTGACATCTAAACCAAGTAAATCATAATTACATGTAATATTAGTAAATATTATATTTAAATGCAATATGGTAATTTAAATGATTATGAATTAAGCAATAGACATACCGGCCGAGAGATTGCATAGACCACTGATGGCATACTCTATAAGTTTGTCATCCTTTACATTGAGTGAATCCAATAGAGTTGTAGTTATATTAAGTTTGTTGAGTGCCTCGAAATTGATGGGATTGTATGCGAAACTGCATATATTCGCCAACACCTGTCTCTTCGCTTCTATTAGTTTAAGAATTGATGAAATTATTTTGTGAACATATTTTCTTCTATACTATATATATTCTATACTATATATGAAATACCCTTTGAATTTGTTATATTAAATTCGTGGAGAAGTTTCTGTAAATAATCAAATCTTTCTGATGGAGAATAGCGTTGTGTTTGATCTGCTTTAGTGTCTCTTCTATCNTTCTATACTATATATGAAATACCCTTTGAATTTGTTATATTAAATTCGTGGAGAAGTTTCTGTAAATAATCAAATCTTTCTGATGGAGAATAGCGTTGTGTTTGATCTGCTTTAGTGTCTCTTCTATCGGATGACATGTTTTCTAATTGTTTCGTCAAATTATCTGTAAATTTTCCGACAAATAATTTGTTACTAAATTAATGCCATAATATTATCTCATAAATAAATATAAAGTTAAACGCTATATAAAGTCTAACAAAAAGCAGGTATTCATAGGAATATATGTTAAGTAATAAAATAGAGAGAAGAGTATCAGAAGCAGAACTAATTTCATGAAATTAAGCTTCATTTCTAAGTAATTATTATTTGAAATAACGACCAAATTTTGCGGTAATTGAGAATTGAAGCAAATGTTTGCTATAAAAGTATTGCTTTAGAGACACACTTCTTGTCAGACACTTATAATATACAGCATTTGAAAGCATAAGAAAGCGAAAGCATGAAAACAATTGCAAATGTTGTAATAATACTGATTATTTAATGATTGTATTAAAAGTATTATTATTGCAATGTTTGGAAAGGCAGGTGAAGCGCTATTACTTAGACTTCTGTCCACAACATAATAACTTGAGGCAAAAAATAGCAAATTTGTTGAAACAGACAAAAGATAGGTTTAGGAGAGGAGAGAGTGACGAACACTCATGTCTTGAAGATAGAGAGGACTGAACACTGGAACTAAAGACAAGGACAACCAAACCATTAAAAACATGTTATTATTGAACAAAGTTTTAAGAAAACATTAACTCAGAGCCCGAGTGAACTCACATATTAAATAATACTACTATTAATACTACACTATATTCCTCTCATTAATGATTTATGAATTCTGCGAAAATGAATAAAATAAATGTCTCAACAATTACTTCATTATAAATTATAATTCATAATCGTAACAATGAATTTTGCTTTCATTTCTCAAATCAAAATTTTAAAATCAAAAATATATTTTTAAAAATATAAATATTACAAAATTTAATGAATTTTAAACCAATTGTATAATTAGGTAATAGAACTTCAAATATGTTGCAAAATATTAAAGACAATTAGAAAATGAGTGCATTAAGAAAAAGTGAACGCATTATCTGATTGCAACATTTGAATGAATTGTACTTTTGATTAAATGAATAGTGAGAATGTATTTCAATGAGAATATTCCTCCAGAAATGGTTGAAAATAGCAATAATAATATTACTTTACATAGAGTTAATAAACAGCAATTCGCAAGTAATGCTCTAACACTTGTCAATCACTTTGCAATAAGTGATAAATTATTTATAAATTAATAAATATTATTATTTATTGTTATTAAGTGCTAAATTGTAAATTTCAAGGGAGCGATAAAATCACATTAAAATAGCGCTAAAATTGAATGCATTTCTATATGTATCGAAATATAATTGATTTAAAATATGTTTATGTTATTCAATCGCTGCCACAAAAGGAGTGAATATGTGTTAAAAGTTCAGTTAAATAAAAGAAACGAAATATTTTTAGCAAAGAAATGTCTTTTTAAGAAAAGAGAGCAAAACTGTTGGTAAAAAACAGTGAATTGTCCGTTGGATGGGATGAGATGTTTGTGACCTAAAAACTTCCTTTTGGCTAACCTTTAGGTTTGTTTATGAAAATTTGGTGAATGAGTGAAAGTGGGTGCAGTTGTGGTACACTATTGGGTACACTATTGGTGCTGTAGTGGTGCGGCACTCAGGCATTGTCATAGACGGTGTGGTACTGTATTGGCACTAACCTAGTAGTGGAGAAGTGGTGCACTTCTCTCTCACTATCCTCTGTATGTGAGTATATATAAGTTGTAGAGAGTATTGGAGTATTGGTTGTGCACTGATATGTATAGCTAAGGCCAGCTAAGGCCCGGCTAAGGCTCAATCATATGCCGGTGCTGTGGGTTAGGGGTTCTTTAGGTCATACGCTGTTTACAACTTTAAAGAAGTAAACACTTTTGTTCGCCTCCCGTCTCCCCTCTCAGACCTTTCAGGAAGAACTTCAGTTTGAGCTCAGGTTTTATTTTCACTCTCCGTATAAAAGGATAAGAAAGTTGAGACACAAAGAACGCTACCAAAGGCCAAACTCAGGCCACAGATAGACCAGAGAGAGAGAGAGAGAGAGAGACGGCTAACACGAGGTGAGATAAGGAGAGCCAATTGCACATTTCTAATTTTAATATGAAATACAAAGCAAAGCGAAAAATCTCATATGAATTGCGAAACATATTTTCGGATACGAGAGAATTGAATGAAGAAAAAACATATGATATTAAAGAAGAGAGAGAGACCAGGGATGTAGGGAAAGAGCACGAGAGGCCATCGGCCGCAATGTGATGGCAATAGCAAAGCGTGGGAGTGCTCTGACCGACAATTTTCACTTCTATTAATCCTTTTCTCCATCCGTTGAATCAAATCCATAATTAAGAGTCAAAATTAATGATAAATTAAGAAACTTTCACTTTTAGGACGAGAGCACTGGGACTGTAGGGCACCTGTGAGTGACGTGCAATTGGCTCTCCTTATCTCACCTCGTGTTAGCCGTCTCTCTCGCTCTCTCTCTCCCCTACTTTAATATTCCCCCGGAGCTCAAGATTTCAATAACGGCTGTACAGCACATACACTGCAAACCAAATGCTGTATTCTATGCTATTCTTAGGAACTCGGAAGCAAAGCAGCAAAACATCTATTGTATTGAACCAAAAGTTGTTTACTTCCCTGTCCTCTAATCGACCATTTCTATAGATTACAATAATAGCACCGATGGATCACTACTGCTCTACTACTGTATATTTTTAACATCACATCACAATCTGCTGTTCCGAACATTTTCCTTGTTTTCCTACCAAAACAACTTTCTCTCTCTTCTTTAATATCATATGTTTTTTCTTCATTCAATTCTCTCGTATCCGAAAATATGTTTCGCAATTCATATGAGATTTTTCGCTTTGCTTTGTATTTCACATTAAAATTAGAAAAATCGGAGCGACTATTGGAACCAGACTTTTAGCTTGTATTTGCATTCAGTAACTATTAATAACTGTTCAAAAGTCAATCTCAAATAACTTTCACTTTAAGACAAACGTAAAGCATGTTTCACTGCGAGAGTAATTTATATTTAAATTCAAATTAAATAGAAATTTATAATAACTTAATGTAAAGATAAGATAAATTCCGTTATTTCCACTAATTCAGGGAATCGGCTGCAAAGCTCTCAAATGATCACAGCTTAAGATTAAAGCAGTTATTGAGAGAAGACATTAAGCAAACATTGAGCGCAAAATATGTCATCGTATTAATTGAAATAATGTTTTGAAAATGTTGACAATTCTTACAAATCTATGTTAATAATGAAGAATAAGTTAAGCAAAAGATAAATCTCTACTTAAAGTTTATAATAAATTGATATTTCAAAAAATGCTAAACAAAGTGAATGTAAAGGTATTCTTTAGTTATGAAGTACTGAAGCGCTTGATATGTAAGCAAAGGAGTGTTAATACAATGGTTTGAGTGAAAAGAGGTTCGACTCCAAGACTTTCGATGTAATTAACTAAAGAAAAGATTGAAAACATGAAATTTTTGTGTGAAATGAATTGATTGTTGAGATTGTAGTGAAAACGATGTGAAATTAAGTAATAAGTACTGGCAATGCATATACGCGAAGAGCGTTAAACCCGTTGGCGAATAATGGGGTTCAAGGGCAGTGATGAACAGCACATCCCGACCGCACCACCGCTCATGCATCGCATGCATAGCACCCGAACAGCCCAACAGCACAATGACCTGATAAATGTCGTGTTTAAATCAAACTGATTCATAAAAACTTGTTTTCTAATCATATTATATATTGAAAATACGAATACCTGTACTCTCTATTCAATTTTCAAAGTATAGCTAAAAACAGTGCTTAGAGTCACACAATTCTGGCGAATAATATTCATTAACTTTTGAGAAAACAACTCTTGAGAAAAACCTAAACTCGTATTAAAAGCAGACTTTTTGACCGAAATTCTTGAAAGCGATTGTATTCATGAAATGTATGGAAAACATTAGACGAAGAAAAAGACAGACAAATAAATATTACAAAACGACATAAGTTTTGGATGTGTTATGACCTGATTATGAGTTGAGTAAAGAATATGCCGATCGTAACTAATAGCCAGACAGGGCTGAACACACGGGGCATAGGGAGCGGTCACCAGTAGGTCAGTGATGGTGTAGGTGTGGAGCAATGGTTAGACTGTTTGGACAGAACAGTGTAAAAAAGGGACTCAGAAAAAACCAAAAGGAGTTCTAAAGGAAAGTCATAAAAAGTGCATTTCTGGACAGAAGGACAGATGGTTTGGGTTGAGATGGTTTTGGGCGCACCGTTTCGGACACAAATATTTTTATGTCTTGACTTCTTTTTTGTAGTAAAAAATCTTTAGAGATATGTATTATATATACGGTATGTATAATGGGCTCACATTAGCGAAGCCATTGCATAATGCATATGAAGAAAAACAAGTCCACTGCTCGACTGACTCAACAAAAGCAGTGCAATCCTATCGGCGCTCAAAAACTAGTAGAACGACAGCTCATGACTTACACTAACCTTTTCCAGCGCTAAACGAGACGACAGGCTCTTAGACTCTAACATCTATTCAATCATTTATTTTTATGTCTCATTCACTCCGCTTTCAGAATAAATAAAATTATATATTTTTGCTATTGTCTGAGAGAGAGATAAAAATAAATGATTGAATAGATGTTAGAGTCTAAGAGATGTATGTCTAACTCATTGTTATTATTTTTATTACATAATTGTGTTTGTAATAAATAGAGAGAGAGAGAGAGAGAGAGAGAGAGAGAGAGAGCAGTTTTTATATTTCTTAAATATGATATAAAATTAATTAATGTTTTGCGTTCATAAAATTTTTTATGCAATAATCCAAATACGGTATTATTAAAAAGCAATCATTGGTTTAGAAATTTTAGAAATATAGTAAACATAACCATAAATTAAAAACAAAAATGTAATTTTATGCGAACAAAAAGGTTAAAGATGTCATAAAAATACTATGAATACAAAATAAGGTAAAACTAAAGAAACTGCTCACAAATTCTGAGAAATGCTGCACTAATTCTATACATCCATAAGATTCACAGTGTTTTTAAAAATAGTATTCACTTTTTAAACATTGAAATTTACTAATTTATGTCAAATGGTATTTTGAACTATAATTTATTGATACTTTATTCTCAATATATACAGTATACGGTATTATAGTTAGAGTTATATAATAGATTCTATTATGTAATATATCAGATCTTTCAAAAATATCTATCATTTTTATCAAATAACTAAAAACTAATGATTTCTTTCAACTGAATTGAAATGAGTTTTGGGTGAAAAGTAAATGTAATGAAAGAGTGAAGAGGTTTTGTAATTTTCAAAATGACATAATATTGATAGCACTGACATTTGACAACTAAATGTGTTATAAATTGGTTGATAATTTTGTATGAATTATAAATGTATTTTATATAAGAATTGCTAACAAAGTATTCATTAAGATTTTTAATTTAGAATATTTTATGTGAAAAACATATTAAAAATTCAAAGATAAAGGTGTTATAAATAACTATAAATATTATAATAATAAGTGATTTAAATTGCATTAATTAAATTACAAAAAACATTTGCAAAACAACTCATGACAGTAGGAGTATTGCTCTAAAGAGTTGGGCATAACTTTCCTCTACTGTTAAGATTGAAAGTGAAGACAAGTCGAGAGTAGAGGTAAAGAAAGTGAACGAACGCTTGTTTTACAACACATTGTCATTAGATTTAAGGCAAACGATGGATATGTACTGCAATCAGAGGTAGAAATGGAAAGGCATTTGAGGGGCAGCTGAACGGATGCGACCAATTATCACGACAAATAAATCTAAGAAAAGTAATTTAATGGCAAAAACATAGAAGACATTGTTTTTGAATTTAATTTTCACATCTTATAAAAAGATGCCATATATAGGGAGAGACAGAGAGTAAAGTAAGTTAATTATTGCCAACGAATATAGTGTACTAAAAGAATATATAAGTTTGCCATTAGATCGAGTACTTATGCAAATGTATTAGCAATACATTAACTGTTTATAAGTTTTAACATTGAAAACGAAATGCGAGGACAAAGACGAGAGCGAAGAGAGAGGGAGAGGGGTATGAAGACAGGTATTTGAGGGGAAAGACAAAGACCTGAGTCAAGGTCAAGAAAAGTGAGAGCACAGGCAATGGTAAGACTTAGCGATGGTTTGCATGGTTTGCAGGTGTGTTCGTTAATTACAGGTAAAGTGGTCTCAAGTGGTTTGACTGGTTTGCAATGGAAATTGCATCGGGTTTAGTGACCTACACTCTAACGTCACCACCAGTCCCTATTCGTCCTACTGGTACACTCAGCACCCATACCCATACCCTATACCAATCACATATCACTAACGCTACACTCAAACACTGTTCACTAAAATTCATTTTCTAAATTATTTTTAATTTTTATCAACTTTTGCTAATATACATAACAAATGACAATCAGATCGATATATATTTGTCAATAATAACAATACAACACTAGAGTCAGAACATATTCATAGCAAACACTATTGGCTCAAAAGCTGTGAGTTATGTTCTGTTCGGCAAATGTCCCGCAAAAATGGGGGTGAAGTCGATCTCTACAGGGGAGGAGTCCCGCAATATAACTGGTCTACTCTATGCCACTAAAGCCTCAGTTAGTGGAGTAGTGAAAGTGGAAACTTGTGCACCAAATATATCAGTGTTGCTCTCATCGTACATCATATAACTACCCAGTTTTGCCCTTGTTCACTTTTTTGCCAACAAGTGCTCAAAATACTAGTAACACCAAAAAGTTTTCACATTTATTTTCATTTCATAATTCATTTGTGTTTTCATCACATTATCGACAACTATATTGAGAAAAGTTATCATATTTTTTTGTGTTGAACAAAGTTTTCTTATAAAACCGTAACTTTTGTTTTCTGTCAAAACCAAAAATCTTGCGCTAATTTTGCGATCCGTTTGAGCGATCGGTGCGCCAAAAAAGATATGCCCAAAGCGTTTCTGATCCGCAAGAAGTCTTCGGGACGCGACCACTGGAGACCAGTCACACCGCCTCCGAGTCCCGATGAAGAAGACATCTGTCATACCAGGGATTTACCAAAAGAAGACCGGATTAACAGCAATAAACTCATCAGAGAATTGCCGCTAAAGATCGACCACTCGTCAAACCATGCCTTCAGCCCATCATATAATGGTGTCATATTGTCCTCGCCTTCAAGTTGTTGTACGAGTGATAGTGACAACGATTTCAGAGGTATTGTTACCATTATTTCAATTTTAATAATGAATTAATTAGAGTGTTTTACAAAATTATCAGGATAACTATTAATTATAGTTATTATAATTATAGTTAACTCATAGAATTATATCATACGATACAGAATTTATATAGCATTTTAATATTAGTTTCGTATAATATATTTATTTACTTTTAAAAGTTAAATAAAGATTTGAAATTGAAATGAAAGTGAATTTTTTGTATTCAATTACATAATAACCTGTTTTATGAAATATAGGCGAATGAGACTTACTTTCGTTAGTAAAGCAATGTTTGAAAGTCAGTGGAAAAGTTTGCTTTTAAAAAGTTTAGAAAGTTTTTGAGTTAAGCTTTCAATATTTTATTAGTTTCTATTTATAGTGAAAACTAATTTTGAAAACGAAATAAAGCAAAGAATTTAAGGGCAAATTGGTTTTTGGGCCTGAATTGAATGGACTGTAGTGTATGTGTCTATTGTTAATCGTAACGGTTATTGTTTTGCAGGCTTTCAATCGGATAATAAAAGAGCAGCACTTGAACGAGAGGAAAATCACAGCACGAAAACAGGTATGCGAACGAAACCTTGGCATTGAATTTGGCCAAAGCCTCCAAAAATGCTTTTAAACCGGTTTTCTAATCATTATTATTCTTCGCTATTATTTCCATTACTGTCAGTCTCTGCTGTCAGAAGAGTATCCGTTATTCACACCATTCATAAGCCCTCAGCAATCATCGAATCGGTTGAAGATTCCTTAGACTCCACCCCAGACTTGCCTATACCTCCCGTCCAAATCATTGCACAACGTTTAGGTAACCCATCTATACATCTATGAAACTGCTTTGTTAGGCATCGTTGCGCCCAATCCTAACCCTTTCATTATTACATTAGGACTACCCGTACATGTGATCGGGTCGTTAGAGTTCGTCAATGGAGGCCACGGTATCAAAAACCCATTGACTACCAATGCTGGCCATCACACCAAAGGCTCGCCAGTGATCGCCGACAATGAGCCCGAAGATCCGCTCAAATGCCAGGTTTGCGGCAAACGATTCACTTTAGCGCGACTTCTGAACCGACACCTGAAATGTCATTCAGACGTCAAACGCTATTTGTGCACATTTTGTGGCAAAGGCTTCAACGATACGTTTGATTTGAAACGACACACCCGAACCCATACCGGTATGATTTCACCCATTCTTACTCTCCCATCACATCATCACTAACTGTATCTATTGTTTGCATTGCTATAGGAGTGCGTCCCTATCGGTGCAACTTCTGTGATAAATCATTTACACAGAGATGTTCTCTGGAATCGCATACACTTAAAGTGCACGGAATTGCACACGAATATGGATATAAGGAGAGGAGGAATAAGGTCTATGTCTGCGAAGAATGTGGTAAATATATTAACACACATTGTATACAGAACAATTATATAAGATAAACTAATCATGATATGTGTTTCAGGCAATACAACAAACCAACCCGAGACACATTACATGCATCTGAAATGTCATCACCCGTACAGTCCAGCTTTGGCTAAATTTTACGACAAACGGCACTTCAAATTCAATGACAACGAATTCCCATTCAAAGAATAAATTGATAACATTTTTAAATGACATCTTTTTTAACTTTTTTGAAATCTTATATCAAAAATATCAATATTATTGAGTTATTTAATGAGAGAATGTATTGTGAGCTAACACTAGTGTAAAATTCCGATACATTATTAGAGAGAATTGTTATGAAAGAGTTTAAGAATTGAACGATTTTTATTTTAAATGTAATTGAATTAACATTTTAATACTGGTATTCATTTGTAACTATATTATCTTGTTTAAAAATCTCCCCATTATTATTATTATTATTATTACTTTTTGCACCATGTTTCATATTAATTATATACAATACATACATTCCGTTTTCTACTGCTCTTAAATTATTGTATTTAAATGTGATATCATTTTATACCAAACTTTGACAATAAATTCATTTCTTATTTAATTTGTTTATTTATTAATAGTTTTAAATCAAATTTCAGTATTTGTGGACATTTTAAACTCCCAATCAATCATTATTTCAGTAGTAAGTTGACATTATTGCCTTACCCAACGTGTTATGTTGTTATGCAAATTAAGTACATGAATTATTCTTATGTAATTACCTAGACTAGGTAACCTAACTAAACAGTACTCATGTATTTGAAACAAATCCTACAGTATATAATAGTTAAGGCAACCGACGGACAGACTCTAGTTGTTAAAAATCAATTGTCAAATACAATCAATAAATATGGTTTAAATATTTGGTTTTAAAATGTTTGGTTTATATAGAATTATAAAAATAATTGCCAAATAATGTCAATACTGTTATTATTTTCTCAATTTTAAACCATATATCAGTTCCAAGCAATCGGTAAAAGTAAAAGTTTTCTCTTTAGTTATAATAGTGACCGACAAATGAGTTTTGTTGAAAACCTCTTCGAAATGTATGCAGTTTTACAACAATATAGAAATCATTGGTCCGTTTGTTGGAGACAATCATGAGAGCAGTGCTGCAGTGCTCGTGTAGTGCTGCCCTCCAATCATCACATTTACTATCAAATTAAGTTTTAAAACTTTTTCAAATCACCTTTGTCATATACAAATTACCGTATTACCCCGCTTATAGGTGCATGCACTTATAAGTGAATTTCACAGATTTTGCATGTCACCAAAACTACCGCACCTATATCCGGATATAAGTGCACCCCTTGTGTAAAAATCACATATAAGTGCACCAAAATTTATTTGCCAAAATTATTTAATAAATTAATGAGTAGATGATACATTATTTAATAATTTAAAGTAAATCTTCATTTTAATTTCTTTCTTTATTTTGTCTCACTTTGATCACTGATTTTTTCATTCATATCCATTTATTCACTGATTATTTGAATTGATTCATTAGTGATGAATCATCACTTGAAGACATGTTTATTATATGAGATATTTTACACTAATGTACTCATTATTTATGAAACTCATAAATAGATAAGAAAATACATATAGATTTTAAACATTTAAAGTAACATTTTGGAGTTCAAAGTTTAATAATAAGTTATTCGACTTTCATCTCAAGGTATATGTAAATTTCAATTGAAAGTCAAAAATGTGTCAAAAACTACCGCACCTATATCCGGATATAGGTGCACCCCTTGTGTGAAATCTCACATATAAGTGCATGCACCTATATGCGGGGTAATACGGTAATTTGCAAACTATAAGTTGAGGAGTATTTGGAGACTTGACGGCAGAGTCCGCTGTAATCGCTGTTGTGATGAATAAATGCATTGAAAAGTGAAAACAAACGATCGTTTGATTGAATGCTTGTTTTGATTGAATCAATGATTTGAGCATTTTTTACATGAATTGAATTGTAGTTAATATTGAATACAATTGTAGTAATAATGAGTGAAACAGATTTCCAGACGTTTTACTCGGAGGTGAAGCACATGGAAAAGGAGGACTCGGTTTACACTTCGGACAAACAGCTGAGCCGACTGTTGAGGCCGGGCTCGACATACGCTAACCTCAATCCCTTTGAAGTACTTCTCGTGGATCCGGAGGACACTTCCGAAACGATTAGAAGACAATACAAGAAGTTGTCGATTCTGTTACATCCGGACAAGAATCCGGACGACAGGGATAGGGCGCAGACGGCCTTCGATGTGATCAATAAGGCCTACAAGTGCTTAGAGTCGGAACAGAGCCGCGCGAAGGCCCTGGAAGTGGTCGAAGAGGCGAAGTTTAGAGTCAATCGTATGATCGATGAGAAGCGCAAGAAATTGAAGAAAGAGAAGCGAAACGAAGCCGTGGAAGAGGACGACCCCATGAAATACAAGCACGCGATTAAAGTGATGACAATGAAGTTGTTTGCAGACTATGAACGCAAACGACGCGCTCTGGAGGAGAGGGCACAGGAAGAGAGGAAACGCAAACGCGAGCAAGAGATCGATGAGGAAGAGGCCAAACAGGACGAGAAAGTGTTCGCTAAGAATTTCGAAGAGAGTCGACAGAATCGGGTCAACAGTTGGCAGTCATTCTCCAAAAGCAGTAAATCTAAGCGCAAAGACATCCGTCCGCCCAAACATAAAGCAGAGACCCGATAGACCTCTAATCCATGTCTTCTTTCCTCGCATTTCTTCATTTCCTTCCCATTCGCTTCAATTCTAGTTCAAAATCATTCATTTCACATACATTTTGACTTCAAAATTAATTATTAATTTTATATATTATTCTTGTTTTTCATTCATACAAATCATAGAAACATTGTATTCATATTTAATGTATTGTTTTGTTAATATTTAATTCAATCATATTATATGTAAATTTGAATAATTGGTGATTATTTGCAAATTATATGCCAATTATATGGACAAAGAATCTATAGTATGAGAGTGTAAATCATTTAAGGTATTTGGCAAATAGTTTAGTAACATTTCAGAACACGTTAAGGTTTTTTAGTCCATTGTATTCATAAGGCTTTAGTAATGCTTCTGTAAATTGAGTCACAAATTATCGACTCAAACATTTACAAATGAAATGTAGTTTATTTATAGCCAATTCTCAATTAAATCAAATGTTATATAATGTACAGTACATTGTAGAGTAATATCCACTTTCAGTGTCTGGTACATAGGGTTGCCTCATATACAGGAATGACTTACATTACAAGAATTACAGGTATTATACAAGAATTAAGGAATATTCGCAGAGTACAGGAACGTGTCATTCCTGTACATTGAAAAATACAGGAATAAATATTTAAGCAAATAACTGTAAAAGCGTTAAAATATTTAGATTTGCTTATAATAGTGCTGTAATGGTTCACCTAATGTGTACCCTAATTCTGGACTAATGATAGAGATTGAATCATTTTATACTTAATCAATTCAATTATAAATATATTGTAAAGCATTCAAATTTTTTGCAAAAATACAATTTTTGAAAATTGTGCGAATTTTAAGTTAATTTAATTTAAAAAAGAAATACAGAAATTCTAACGAAGTAAGCAAAGTTTCCGCATTTATAAGGATACGCATCATATTTTGTGGCAACGCTACTGTTACCACCAAATAATTATTGCTTGGTGAAAATAATTATAATAGCTATTAGTTAAGCTGGTATATTTTATTATCATTATATTATAAACTATATAATATTCGAATTAAGAGTAATATTAAGTTTGAAATAAAGTTAGAAGTATAGATATTTGAAATGGATTTTATGGTGAATTTAGTGGTTGTGTTGAATGTATAAGTAGTGGAAAATCGTAAGTTCGGGTCATTTTAAAGTATTTATTCATTTGTATTATCAGATGAAGTGTATGCTATACTATGTTATACATCAAGACTATTAGTGCACACCTGAGGGCCGGCCGTGCGTTTGAGCGGCCAATAAAATAGTAGACTAAATAAACGATATTGTGTTGATGTATGGGAGAGAGACTGGAGGGTCAATCAACCACCTGTTGATCGGATTCTCAGGTAAGGCATACCTCAACACAAGACCGGTCTGCCTGTACTNGAGAGAGAGAGAGAGAGAGAGAGAGAGAACAGGAGCTGCACTGAAACTGAGCTGCACTGCCAGAAACAGGCAGTACAGGCAGACCGGTCTTGTGTTGAGGTATGCCTTACCTGAGAATCCGATCAACAGGTGGTTGATTGACCCTCCAGTCTCTCAGCCATAGTAAAGGTACAGAACTGAGCCATTAATGGTGTAAATATATTTGTCTGGCTCTCGGTTTTGTCAAAATATGACTTTTAAAACAATTTTATTAAAACTTTTTATTCAATTCTAATATTGAAATTAAGTTTATTATAAGTTTAACTGCTTTTGTAATACCAGTTATAAGTCATGCATCAACTGTTTGTTGAAGTTTTGGCCAAAAAAGACTTGTCTAAAGCGGGGGATCTGTTCTCAATCGATGACAAGAGTATTGTCGCAGATCTGTCTGAACTTATATTTCACATCCAGAAGATCAGTAGTGCCGGCAGTTTTCTCGACAAACATAATGACCAAAGTGTGGTTGAAATCTGTTTGACTCGTATTACGAGTGCTATTCGGTATGACATTCCTTACACCCAATGAATTGATTGAATTAAGTATTGATTATGACTGAAACAGAGACACGGGAACCATTGAAGAACACGCCGGAGCACTGGTAGCACTGCTCGAGTCATGTTTACTACACGATCTGAAACCATCGAAGAAGGACGAGGACCCGCCTCACGCCAAAATCGCCAGCGATGTTGTCTCCTGTATATTCCTCGTCAGTCATATAAGTTTACACATAAGTCTTAATATATTTCTAAACGTTTGTTTGAAACCCTTGTCCAGAATCACAGTAAGAAGTCAGTGATGAGACTATCGGTTCCAATTGCTGTCAAACTTTTGCACAGAGGAAACAAAGAGTTGAGTCGAAATCTCTCCAGTTATCTGTCATTAGCGGCCATTAATAACGCAGAAATTCTCTCGCCTCACATCCAACCTATCATTGATTCGATAATCGGTGGTAACTATTCATTGGCGCGAGTCTTGCCTAAGATCTATGCTGTGAATAAGGAACCGATTCACGACCACATCATGGCATTGGTGTGTCTTTTACCACAATGTGATACTCCGGAGAAGTTATCGCTTCTTAACTTATTTGCTCTCATCTCAAAGAATAAGCCGTCGATTTTGGAGTCAAATTTACCACAATTTAGTGATTGTTTAACTCAGTCTCAAACGGCTTATCCGACTCTTCAGATATTCTTAGATATGGCGCAAACGAATGCAAAGCCATTCACTGAATACGTCTACAGAGTTATCACGGCGTCTGAACTCCAGACCGGAATGCTTTCAATCGCCGCACAATTTCTTGGTTTAGTCGGAAAATTGAATCCAAACAAAGGTCGCGATTGTCTTAAGTTTTTAACTAATCAATTGTCAAAATCAGATCTGTCGACAATGATTACGCTATTGAGAGAAATCAAGTCAATCGTTGAAGTCTTTCCCACACTTTTGCCATCATTTTTGCCACAAATTATCTCACAAACAGAGAACTCGACGTCATCTACGGTACAGTCATATCTGCAACAAATCAGTTCCATTAACAATGCGTCCAACGCTTCCAATGCCAACGCCATAACCATTGTTAGAGTAAATTGTGATAATCCTCTAAACGGTTTTAACGGTCAACAGAATAGTAATACAAATACTTCTTATACAACACACACCACTTCCGCCAATCATAGCAATCATAACAAGAAGATCACTTCATCGCTCAACGACTGTATTCTTCCGTCTCCTCTAAAGAGTATTGGAAGCAATAGATTGGGAACAAGTAATATACACGTCATTCATAGAAGTATTCCCAGACTTCATATCGTAAGCGGAGGGCATATAATCGGACGCCACTCGTCGTCTAATGTTCACAGAAGTCTTACGGCTCTAATGATGGCCAACCCATCGACGAGTCGACACCATATGAACCGGATGTCCATCGAGAGCGTCAACGCAACCACACCCACGAGCTCTCAAAAGAGCGCTTCCAGTAGTTATTTGACTGCTTTGCAGGAAAGAGAATTGGCCGCCAAGTCTTCCAAAGCCGTCGCCACTTCTGTCGATTCGCAGCTTCAGACACACGTTCAAAACGTGACCTCTTCCTCCTCCTCTTCGTCTCATTATAATTTAAAACTTTCAAAAAGTGAAATCATTTCAAACAGTAATATTAAAATTAGAGATAAGTCGGCGAACGCGACAATTGGGCCACAAATGGGTCAACAGAATCGGGTGTCTGTTTTCGAGCCGTATCCGATGCGCGACGCCGTCCAACACTTTTGCGAGAAACATATCGATAAAATCAAGGCATATATGCAGAAAGTTTTTGTCAAAATTCCTCTTCCGGTTAAGTGTACGATAGAAGAGAGAAAAGCCAAAAAAGTGGCAAAACTTCACTTTGTATGTCAAGGAAAGGGTGAACACTGTCTTTACTCAAAGACTTATTTCATAATGAAGACTAGAAATGCCCGCATTTGGATTCATCTCATGTTTCTGGCACTTCAGGCCAAAGCCATGTCCGCCCTCTGCACTCGTGAAACATCTGTGAACGCACTCAAGAATTGTTGGGACACTTTGAAGGCTGACAACCGAACCTTTCTTACTTTAGTCACCTCTTCCTTCCCATCGGCTAAAGACCAGGACTTACTTATCGCTGAATTACGTTCTGAACGCTATTTCGATGTCTTTGAATTCAACGCAATCGTTACCATTTGGGGCTGTTTTCTATGCAATCATCCCGAGAGGGCCAACGGCTTCCTCAAGAGTAACGAACCCGTGATTGAGGGACAGCTCAAAGAGAAAAAAGGAAAGTGGAAACTATTCAGGAGATGGAGGACCAGATATTTCACACTTTCAGGCATTCAATTGTCTTATAGAGAAGGAGTAAGAGATTTTACAATTGTTTTATTAATATTTTTATCACATTTCATATTTATTGCACATATTTTTATTTTTTAAAACTTTTCAAAAACGTGAAAGTGTCTACACTTTGTAAAGTTACATGCATTTCAATGACAAATATGCAGTAAAAACAAAATTAATTTACATTTCTCAAATGGTTTGCACAGTAAAACAGTTTACTATCAGATTTGGCATCATTTATACAAAGATTTAAACATATTTTTAATTAACAAATATAAGTTGTTATTAACTTAAGATTTCCGACTCAATTGAATGCAAATTTTTATTTTTGCAATTTTATTAGAAATCTTTTATGACTGAAATTCTTTTACATTAAATGCATTACTTTGTAATTTATTATGAATATATCATACTTTATCTCAATTTTTCTTTATCTAATATATTTATAAATATATTGAATAATTTATAATGTATTTATAATAATTAGTGTCGAGTTTTGTTAGAATTGATAATGAAATAGTTTTATTTGATATCTTACTACCGTATTACACCGAATATAAGTGAATTTCACTTAATTTGAATGTAACTGAAACTACCGCACTTATATCCAGATATAAGTGCACCCATTGTATGCACTAATATGCGGGGTAATAATATTTCATAAAATATAAATCATAGATTTTGATAATTTATCAATTAATCAAGAAAATTTCACTATAACGCCTGGAGAACAGAAATGACAAAACTAATGCATTTTGTACTAGCTAGTTTTTAGATTATAAATTACTAGTTCAAGAAACTTATACACAATAGGATATACAAATGAAACTTTATTTATTAAGCTACAAAACCATGCTATCTATTTGTCTCTGGCATTTGTAGTTCGGAAGATATGATCATCTGAAGATGTATTAGTTTTGTTATTTTTGTTCCCCAATGGTTAAATGATACATGTCCGTGTTGATGTATTAATATTACAACTGTAACAGAATAATTAATATTTTGAGCATATTCTATTACAATATTAATTTTACTAATAGTCAACGAGTCTTATCAACAGATAATGTGATGATTATCTAAAAATATTAAATATATCGATGACAAAAGACCTTGTTAATGCATGTCTCAAATGAACTAACCTATAAATACATAGAATGCATAGAAATAAGTAGTAATGAATAGTTGCTGAATGTGTACAGAATGGTGAGAAGGATGGCGACGCCGTAGAGATCGGACAAATCCAAAGCGTGCGGGCGATCGGCAGTTCCAGAGGTCGTACGATTCCGAAGGCGTTTGAGATTTTCACCAATGAAAAGACTTATGTATTAAAAGCCAAAAACAGCTTAAATAACGAACAATGGGTTCAGTGTTTGTCTATAGCTATGGCTCACTCACAAGCAAAAGAAGGTAATTAAATGTCTATATTTTGCTTACTATCGACTCATTTATAATTAATTTCAAATACATATTCTCTTATGATAGCCAACCCTAAGGTAATGGTCTTCTCAATAATATAAGTTTATAAGTCTATCACTAATTTTAATATCACTTCTTATTATA